AAAATATTAACACAGGAACACATTCAATGAGAGGGATGGAAAAAGTGTGTCAGACCTTCGTAATCTCATAATAGTGTTGTGGAACTAGCTGCATTATCTGGTCTAATCAATAATGCAATCAGTCATTATTGGCTTTCATAATCTTATCAATAATAGATACATTTCTTCAATAACTTCTTAATCATTCATTCACACACACACACACACACACACACACACACACACACACACACACACACACACACACACACAGATAAATCCATTGTCCTGAACAGTTTGCTTCTGTTATTAAAGATTCATAAGTTACAAACACAAATTCCTCCTGACCTTTGACCTTTACTGTGCCTAGATCAGGTTACTGTGGAGAGAGAAGAAGAAGGAGGAAAAATTGGAGTAGAGGAAGAAATAGTGAACCCTACAAAAACAGGAAATCTGTAAAAAGAGTTTACATGTTTGTTTTCTGTGTACAGATTTTTGTAAATTTGGACCGAATCAGGCTAGCAGTTTCCCCTCGTTTCCAGTCATTATGCTAAGCTAAGCTAACATGCTGCTGGCTGTAGCTTCATATTCAACTGAGCATTGTATCAATCTCCTCATCTAATTAACTAGAAAACTAATTAATATATGCACCAAATTGTGTCATTTTGTGATGAAATTAAAGGGAAGTCTGAGCTGTACTTTTAGTGACTTGTATCAAAGTTTTATGACGACAAAGATGTACCTCAGACCATCAAATAAAACATCCCACTGATCTTAAACTCATCATTTCACTTGATATAATCCAGAGGTTCCCAACCTAGGGGTCGCCAAAGCTTTATGGGGGTTCGTGAGGCTGAACGTCAGAGACAAGAAAACACTCAATTTGTGAAAAAAGACGCCTATTAAGTCTGTATGATTGTTAGAAAATACATAATATAGGAAATAATCTTCTCAAAATTCATCCAAATCACTAGTTTTATCCAAACTGTTCACTATTTGGGTTCATTGTACAGTTTTGAATATAATATGAGGGGTTGCGAGTTTATTACACGATAGAAAAGAGGTCCCAAAAGGTTGGGAACTGCAGGTGTAAACCATCATATTCAATCTGCATTCATTGCTGCTCTGTAAACCAGTTTGTCCAAATCAATTCTTCCTTCACTTCATTAAAATAAGATAAATAAAGTACGTAATTCACATTTCTCTAAGGAATTCCTCTAAAACTTTACATAATATGAATGAAAGGATTTTGTCTTACCTCAGATAAAGTCATGTAGAATCACTGAGTTCTCTTCCTCCTGCTGTTACTGTTAATAATACTGTTACTGTTGCCAAAGTACTACAAACCGTTCAGTCCGCTGGCTGATGGTAAAAGTACAACTGCTGACTTCTGACTGCTGTGTGTGTGTGTGTGTGTGTGTGTGTGTGTGTGTGTGTGTGTGTGTGTGTGTGCTCACTTTTGATCCATGACGTCTCGCCTCTCCTTCCACATTAGCCGAGCTGTTTATGCACGACTGCACGCACACAAACACCCCTCTGCATCCGATACTGCTGCCACACACACACACACACACACACACACACACACACACACAGAACCAGTGACCAGCTAAAACGACACTATTAATGTTCATTATTGTTGTACTCGGTGGAAAATGTAAACTTTTGATGTGACTTTTATAGATATTTGCAAATGTCTTAGTGGTTTTAATTGAAGATTCCAAGGTTTCTGCTTGCGTTAGTATTTCCTAGTAGTAGTACAAATGGCAATAGCAGAATTGTTAGTAACAGTTTGTTGGTTGTTGATTTAATGGTAGTGTGTAGTTTTTCTGTAATTGTGGGTATAGGGGTACTTATAGTTGCAAAAATAGTAGTTGAGGGATTGTTAGTTGTCAGAGCGACTTTGCCAGATGTAGAGGCCAGAAGAGCAGATGTGGTATTGACAGATATAGCAGGCATTGTGGCACCAGCACCTCTCGGAGACCATTATCTTCTACTGCACCACCACCACTACCCAATCGTCAAAAGGTGACGTCATCGTCAAAGCAGTGTTTGAAGATGACGTCACTGAAAACAAGGTCTCTCTGTGGTTCCTCACTGCCTTCCTCTTCCTGTCCGTCCATCCCCGTCAGCTCCTTTTAGAGTACAGAGGCCCTGTATCTACAGCACTGACCTCTGTCCTGTATCTGTACTGACCTCTGTAACTTAGTATTACTGTGAAATGGGCTCAATCAAATCTTTAGTAACTGTCTAGGACACAAAATAAAGTTAATACTAATAAGAAGATCACTATTGTTACTATTATATGAATCAAGTAGACAGTACAGACCACTGACATCTATAGCACTATCTACAGAACTGACCTATGCCCTGTATCTACAGCACTGACCTCTGTCCTGTATCTGTCCTGTCCTCTGTAACTTCCTGAATTTGTCAAATAAAAGAAAATACTCTGAGCAGAGGACACACTGTAAAAAGAATCTTGGTTTCCATTTTCTTTTCTAAGGTTAAATTTTTTTGTTGTCTTATAAAATATGTAAAAGTCATCGTATGGATATTTATTTTCTCTTGTGTTTATTTGGTGGTGAGATAATCCAAAAGTAACTTGAAGTAAATTCATTACATGAATGGAGCAAAGCCTGCGAGCTATTTCAGGAAGTCAACTCGAGCTGCACTGCTATACACACGGCATGTCTCAAAATCTTTGATCAAGCACACACAATTTGCTGGTTTCTCTCACAGCATGTTCAATCCATACATACATTATAACAATGAATAGCAGGAATCAGTATTTCTTCTGTGTTGCAGGCCACAAAAATGAATTTGTCTCTTTCACCTGCTGCAATGATGTATAAGACTGATATCAAATCTAACTGCACTGAGCTGTTATTTTTAATCTTCAAATTCAGTGGTGAGTTTTAGTAGATTTAATCTGCCTAAAACAGCCCCTAGTGTGCCTCTGAAACTGAAGAGTTTTGTTATGCTTTAAACTGTCTGATAACAGACACACACACACACACACACACACACATGCACAGTTCTGCATGCATCAGACATTCACACTTCATTTGAGCAGTTCACACCTACTGAGTGCAGTTGTTTCCTCACTAATGGTTTATGTGCTCTGCATAAAAGAACATTTACTTTGTCATTTTAGTTCCTCCACATAAAGTGACTTTGAAAACAAATGTAGTTGTGTCACACTAAAATCAATATACGACCTCTAGAAGTGATCAGTTATTGGTACACAAAAAGGTGTCTCTCCTAAAATCCAATTTTGACTGTTGTTACTCGTAATTTGGCCTCATTACCTCATGATTCTATATTTCACATAGTGGTGAATTTTAGTTCTGATTCAGTATTCTTTCTACAAAGTAGGCCTTGTGGGTAAAGAGACAAGGTATCATTAACCCGATAGAATCATGTTACATGGCATATATATAAACAGACTGTACGGTCCTTATTGTCATTATACCTTAACAAACCATCCATCCTCTGGTTGCCCTCGGTCTCTAGTTTGTGGTTGTTCAGTTTAATTAAGGTGTGATTATCCGAGAGGTCACAACAGCTCATTTTATACAGTAAGGTTGAGTTTCCAAAAAGGGTCTTAGTACAATGGAAAGGCTACTATGGCGACAAACATCATCACACATGAATACATTTTGGGCTCATTAAATCCACAAGAGTCTCAGCTTTTTAGTCATACACAATTTCACAATACTCTTTATGGACCCCAGTATGTAGAAATATTACACTAGGCAAAAGATAACACATTTATACCGCATGCAAACAACTGCGTGGGATTAGCAGTTTGTAAAGGGGACATTGTTGGGCACCCAGAGAACCCATTTTCATTCAGATATCGGGAGGTCAGAGGGTAAGAGACCTCTTTGAAAATGGACGTGTAGTTTAGTGGAAAAATGCAACTGAGACTTTACATGAAGTAGAAGGGAGAAGTTGTATTAAATATATCAAAGGTGCTATGCCACTAAAACCATATTCTAATTATGTTCCTGTTTTTTTCTTGGTATTTGTCTCTTTTAACACCAGTGAACTGGTGACAAAGCGGGAACTGGCGGTTAGGGTAAAGGGGCAGTTGGGTGACAGCCCCCTTTCTTAGGAAGAGGTAAAGATAATTGGGTGGTACCTGGGGTGGCCAATCAGATGTAAGGGGTGGCTAATGAGATTTCAGGACCCCCCTCCTAGACACGCCCCGTCATAATCTACTGAATCTTCCGTATAATTTAGACTCCCTCCACAAGCTTCTTTCATTTTTGAGGAAGACGTTATGGTTTCCACTGCTGCATAAACACAAAGACGCTGTTTGGAAGATTTGTGGGAGGTGGTGAGTTTTTATCTTCCCCTGTCAAATGAATTTATATTCATTTCAGGCTTTTTTCCTTCAAATTTGGCATTGAAAATCCAGTGAGGATTAATTTACTTTTGATTAATTTTAACAGTTTGATTTGATATAATGTACTTTTTGGATTATTGATTAGAAATGTATGTTGTAACAGTTCTGTATATAAACTGCACATAAAAAAAATTGCAATTTTCCTGTCAAAAAAGAAATGCTAATGCTGACCTTGAACACTTCATTTTTTAAACATATTTAATATGAAGACCAGGAAGAACTTAGATTGATATACTGTAAGTTCTGAAAAGTAAAATATAAAGAAAAGCTATTTTACCTTTTGTTTTAAATGTTGTTACTGTTACAGTTACTGTTGCCCCCCTCAATTACTTTTAAATGAAGGGTTCTTGGTTTCAGGGACAGACAGAAAGCTTCTCATTTCCTGCAAATTATGAATTAGCCTGATTGATTATTATTATTCAAAGAGTCCAACTTTTCTGCTGTGATTCAAACTAAAGAAAATAAACTATATGTGTATACAATCAGTCTGACTTTTTTTTTTATCTGTAAACTGAATTATATGATAATACCATAACTGCAACCTAACTTAACTCTAATGATTGATTGTGTTTGTTCTCTCCTCTGATCAATGATACAGTGTCTGAAGATGGTGAAACTGAAGACAGGGTCTCTCTGGTTCCTCGCTGCCTTCCTCTTCCTGTCCACTGTTCCCACAGTGGCTGAGGTGGTAGAGGAGGTGTCCCTGTGTGAAGAGTTTCTCCTTCAGGGAACGCCTCCACAGATCCCAGACATCATAGTCGGCAGGGACATCCAGAACCAGAACCGATACAAACCCATTTGCCAGACTTACAATGATGTGAGAAGGTTTCTGACGCTCTACGACACCCAGAACAGGATTCCAGTGTTTTCTGCTTACGTGTACAGAGAGGATGGAAAAGGGACGAGATACAATAAATGGAAGATCGAGCCACAGGTGTGTTTTTCTTTCTCTGATTCATAAAAGACTGAATTAATAAACATACAGTGATATTGTATTTTCTGTGCCACTCGTGTATCCACATCCATAGAAATACTTCAACTATTAACTACTAATAACAATAATTGTAATCTACCACTATAAGGAATAACAATCATACAACTACTTTCACTGCACTTTCATGTAGAGGACACTGGTCTACTGACAGTTTGTTCAACCCTGGTTGGACCCTCTAATATTAAAACAGCTGTCAGAGGTTAGTTTATGGTTTTCTCTTTAAGCAGAGACTCCAGGCTGCAGCGTCACACTGGTGATATTCTGTTTTTGTTATTGTCAGAAAAATCCATTAAAAAGCCAACAGCAACAATACTTTCTGACTTCTCCACTCTGTCTGCAGCAGTAAAAAGATCTGCTCACAGATATATAGTTTTATTTAAAAAGGTTCAGTAATTTCCTAAAACACAAGTGTTTTTTATCAAATGCTACTCAAATAGGGGAAAACTGTTCATTTGTTTTGGAATATTATCAGTGGTGGATTATTATTATTATTATTATTATACTGGTGATGCAGTGAGGATTTGGTGCAGAAGGACTGTGTATGTGAGTTAAATGAAATTAGTGTGTGTTCATGGTTCTTTATATCTGCCCAGGTATTACAGTTAAAAATTAGCCAGGATAGTTAAACTGTCACAATTACAGAAATGATAATTAATTAGTCATTAATGATCAATGTCTCTGTCACTTAAATTGTATAAAACAATTTCAAAAACATGTCAGCAACAATGTGGCTCACTGACAGCAGTGAAGCTCTATAGCACAAAGCAATAAGATTGATTCATTAAATATAATTGTTAATGTACGCTTAATTTACTTTATGGATATCAGCCTTCATTAACTTGGTCTCTGACTCTTACAGCTTGAGAACAGAGGGGGCAACAACATGGTGAATGTAGAAAGAAACGGAATCTACAACAACCAGGCCGGAGACATTGATTACAGAAAGAATGGACTGGGGTTTGACAGGGGCCATTTATTTCCAAGCTCTCATGCGTTCAACCAAGATGACAAAATATCCACCTTCACCCTGACCAACATCGTTCCACAAATAAAGGCATTCAATGGGAAAAGCTGGGGCAGAATGGAGATTTGTGGTGGTGGGAGCACAACCCGGCAACAACAATCTCAACGGCAGGGTTAATATTCCCACCCAGCTCTGGTCCGCATTCTGCTGCTTCAGTGCCGACAGGAACGCGTGGATAGCGAGTGCGTTCTGGGGCAACAATGTAGCAGATACACGCCCAAAACAACATATGCAGACCAGGACCCTGAGAGAGCTCTGTGATAACCTGAGAATTGATGTGTTTCCTCCAACCGGGCAAGACTTGCCTTCCGTTTGTCCTCTCGACACAACTGTTGCTGGGCTTTACCCAGAATTTGCAAACCAAAACAACTGTAATTGCCCAACCTGAATTTAACCATGTATGCCCTTCCCATGTCAAGCTCTGCCCCTTTCACCTCCACATCTGGCCCTCTAGCTTCAACACCAGGTGTCAGTCTTATATTGTACCCCACAACCCCGCCCCCTTTTTCTTTTAAGCTTCAATCTGAGCAATTTATTTATATTTTACTGTACTATACTTTTAGTGTAATTTCATTTGTTACAATGATAGGACACTGGATGAGTGTTCTTCGAATGGCTTCAGATGGAAGACACAAAGTAAATGTACATGATTTGTAAAATGTGAATGAAATAAAGTGCAGAACAGCCTGACTGCAAACACTGTGTGTGAAGTGGTTATTTTATCTTTGCAGAGAATGAATTACACACACATCCATCAAACTCTACAGGACGACAACAAGAAGACAAAACTGAGCTTCTATCAACGTCTCATCAATCCTTCTTTGATCTATCCTGAATATTTTTTAAAGACTCTGTATGAGCCCTTCATTTACTGTGGCCCCAGAGCGCCATCTAGTGTCCTTTCTGTATTTTTCAGTTTGTACTGAACCATATCCAACTTTATAAATAATCAGTCACACTGTGTAAATACTGAAGTCCAGATTCAAGGTACTTCTACTCTACTTCAATGATTTCCATATTATACAACATTACATCTACATCTCAGAGGGAAATATTGTACTTTTTACTCCACTACATTTGTCTGACAGCTTTAGTTACTTTTCAGATTACAATACTCTTCCTGTCCAGTGAAAACCACGTATCTCCAGTATTGATGTTGAATGTTCGTGATAAACTGAAGGATGAAGTGTTGCTTTATGGGTTGAAAAAATTCTCCAGTCTCTCAAGCTAAATAAACTATTTAAAATCCATCTTTGATTCGGTAGAAAACAGGACTGACCTTACAGAATATGATGCATTGCAACAGTATGTAAAATAGTTCAAATGATCTCAACCGTAAACATCTCAAGAGTAAAATGCAACATACACATTAATGCAGCAGTTATAACAGATATGATAGTAAAACACTTTGCGTACAATGTGCTGATAATACTTACCTTTATTTAAGACTCCTACAGGTAACTTACATTTTGTGTTGATTCTGGTGTCCCCTGGTGACAAAAAGAGGTATTGTTTACACCACCTCATTTCATTCATTTCAAGGTTATTCCAACCCGGTGGCATTCATTAAGAAGAACTGTATAGAAATAATTTCACTAATGGTCTTATTTGTTTAGAGCAGGGGTCTTCAACGTTTTCCAGGCCAAGGACCCCCAAACTGATGGAGAGATGGAGCGGGGACCCCCTACTTATATATATTGTATAAAATTGTGTTTTATATTAAACTGGTCCTATAGTGCCATGTATAAATGTGCCTTGTTATTGTTATTCAATACTAAGATATTCAAATAATACACAGGTTCGTATATTCATGTTTTTATTTTAAACGTGCAAGGTACAGTGAGTAGGGTGGCCAAGCCACTGCCATTCATAAAAATAACATAACACAATAAACTGATACCTGCCAAGATCAACAATGTCTGTCAATTGCATGTAATCATGCATAAAAGCTATTCAAATGGACATTTTTAAAACATAAATGTGGAAAATTAGTGATGCTTGTTAGTGCCACTGGCATGCATAAACATACCTGTTATATTGCATACAATACTAAACTATTAACACAACTGACAGATTCATGTTTTAATTTTAAACATAGAAAACATAAACTAAACTAAAGTAAAAGTAAAAAAGAAATATATACACTACTATCAAGGTAAATATTTGAGTTTTAATCCATATTTTACTGTATAAATACAAGTTTACCATCAAAACAAACAGTTCTGACATATAAAAACAAACATATTAATGCTGTAATGTTGGTTACATGTAGTATGGGCAGTGAATCCTCAAACCATCTATGGATGGCATACATACTCCCACATTAGTGAGATGTCTGACCCTGATGAGTAGCACACAACTTGTCTAACCTTGGACGTGTGGAGGTTGTGAGGCAGAGAGTCATATCAGCCTCAGGCTGCAGTCTTGACCTGTATTTGTTTTTCAGGTAGGTGAGTGAGGAAAATCCACTTTCACAAAGATATGTTGTAGCAAAGGGCAACAGGCTCATCATTGCTTTTGCTGCCAGTTGTGGAAAGTCTTTCTGGCAAGATATCCAAAACTGGGTGAGTGGTTTAGTTTCATATATGTTTCTGTACGTGCTGTCAGTGGACAGTTCAATGAGCTGATCCTGCTGCGTTGTCTCTGAATGGAAACTGTATCCATGTCTTGTCCCTGCGCCAGGAGTCGGCCTCAGAAAAGTAGTTCCTAAACACTGTTCCGCGTGAAAGCCAGCGCACCTGAGAATGGTACAGTAGCCCAGTGTGCTCTTCTCCTTCAGCAGCACAGAGATAAGAGAAGAGTCATGTTTGCAAAGCACTCTTCTTGACTATATTCACAACTTTCACGGCCGAGCCCATGACATCAGACAGTTCAGCGCTCATGTCCTTGGCAACAAGTGACTCTCTGTGCAACATGCAGTGCGTCCAAATCACCTCTGGAGCCACATCCCTGACAAGCGCGATTAGGCCACTTTTTAATCCAGCCATGGCTCTTGCGCCGTCGGTGCACAGTGCAACACATTTTGCCCATGAAATGTCATTTTCTCTGAAGAAAGCGTCAATCACTTTGAAAATGTAGCACTTGTTGTGCGTTCAGGAAGGCGCTTACAAAACAAAAATTCCTCCTGCATTTCATTTTGATCCACAAAGCGCACAAACGCCAGAAGCTGCGCGTCCTTTGGCACATCCGTTGAGTCATCCAGCTGTAATACATCTGCCAATCTCAGCTTCTCTGTCAGTTGCACCCTCACATCTGATGCCATCTCGTCAATACGGCGAGCAATGGTTGTGTCCGACAATGGAACAGTTTTCAGTTTATTAATGTCAATATCATTCCCATACATTGTTTTACACATATCAGTTGCGGAAGGCAATATTAAATCCTCTCCAAGTGTGTATGGCTCTTTCTTTTGGGCAATCCGAAGAGCAACTTGATAAGAGCATTTCAAAGCTAGCTCACCAACTGTGGCTGACTTTCTCATCAATGTCTGTTGACCTTGGAGGGATTTGAGACAAGTTTGGAAGTATCCAACGGGTTTGTCTTTTAAGTGGCTGTGGGTTGTCTCCAAGTGACGCTGCAGCTTTGATGGCTTCATAGACTCGTTTGACAGCACAGTAAAACAAATGACACACATTGGAAATTCAATGTCATCTGTCTCCTTGAAGGTAAACCCAAACTTCAGATAGTTGTCTGTGTATTTTCGGGTCTTCTCTCTTTTACGCTTACCCGTTACAGCTGCGGGGCCTACAGCAGGTACTGGTTTCTGAGGTGGAGGGAAGGCCTGTCTCTTTTGTAATTGTGGGTTTGTTTGTTTTTTTTGTCGTGTTACACAACGATCCATTTTTTAATTTTTTCGATCCAAACATAAGCACTAGCTGCAAGCATCATATGACTGGGCTCTCGGCCAAAGCTTCCACCGGGACAGCTGCCGTTGTTTACTCCGGAGAACAGCTGATCTAAGGGCGGCCGGTACAGTGGACAGAGCCGCTGATTGACCAGCTGAACTCTGGAGGAAACACACCGGGGATGAAGAGGAGGGAAGCAACGTCGGGGGAAGAGAGGAAGGTGGAGACGGGACGGGTTTATGGAGAAGATTGAAGCCGAGTGATTGAAGCCTGATGTGTTTCACTGAGACATTACGGACCGTCCCTGTCCATGTCCTCCACACCGACCGGGCAGACCGGTATTGTACCGAGAGCGAACTGCTCTGTGGACGGGATGATGAACTGCTGCCGTTGGACTCCGTCCACATCATCTACCGAGAGAGAGCCCGCACGACATCATCATCTTCATCCCTCCCTCTGACTATGTGCCTCTGCTGAAGAAGAAGCCTGCGACCACTTTACACTTGCCATTTTTGCACATTTGAAAGTGTGACTTTAATTATACTGTATATACAGTATATATATTCTATTACATATGGAGTAACGTAATGAAAGTAGTATAAAGTATTTCTGATTCTGATTCCTCGTTGATGGGACAGGTGTTGTGAATGAACCGGTGCCCAGCTTGAAAGAGCTCCTGTGTGTCGCTGAATGTGTGCATTGCTGACTGAAAGACATCTTCTGCCTCCATATCTGTTCACTACAGTGTGTTGGATTCATGTTAATGTGTATTTAAAGGACATTTCAATTTGTGGAAAAAATTAAAAAATATAAAAAAAATGTCTAATCAACCAAAACTTTCGCGACCCCCCTGCAGTACCTCCGGTTTAGAGACATCAGTCTTAAATTGAGTTTCATAACTAGTTAAAAACTACTTTCTATAAGTAACGTGTTACAAGATAAATTACTAAACAAGCTGCATCTTGAAGTCTCTCTCAGGACACAGGTGAATTAGGAGTAATCTATTATTGAAGGTTAGCACATCCTCTCATCCACTGCAGGGGCATGTCCGGAGTTTTTTTACTGGGGTGACCCAAGTATGTGTAATTTTATTTTGTGCTGTGAAAACTTGTGTATTCATGCTTGAGTTTACATTTTATCACCATATATAGTAATGATAGAGTACGTCTGCAACTTGACTTTGGCAAACTTGGCGTTTTGTGCAACTACGATACAGCGTACTTATGAAAGCTTCTCTTTTAAAAGGTACAACAACAAATTAAAGGAAGTCAGACAGTTGGAGTAAGACTGACAGTTATGTCCCAATTACATGCACCAAGATGCAGACTATAAACTAAAGTATACACTGAAGAGCTTCAGTTCTGGTAAAACAATGTGAGTTGGACCCCAATGGCATTATATTTGTAATAAAAGCTATCACTGGGAATCTCACTGGACCTATCGATGAAAGAATTTGTCTGATATGTGTGTTACAAAAAAATACTTTAGTTACTATCATTACAGTATCACACCGCAAAAAGAGTGGCACCAAACAGACATGAAATAAAGCTTCCATACTTGGCAAAGTCAACCAGTCTGAAGGTTTTCAATCAGACCTCAACAGGTGATTTCTCTGATGAATACTTCCCTACGAGACTAGTCTAGTCTGTCTCTCCACAGCTCAAGTAATTAATCATTTTATAGGTGTGACTTCAAAACACACATAGGGTAGTCTAAAGCAACAGTAATTCACTCAGCGTTGATATGTGTGACCAGTTTAATCACATGATACCATATTTTTTGACATCATAGCAGTTTTATCACAGAAATCAGGATTATTTCTTGTTAAAAACTTCCTGTGTGATAAATCAAT